GGGGGGGGGATGCAGGAGGCACAAAGTGAGGGGGAGATGAGGAACAGATCAGAGAGGTAAGGGACAGTTCGTACAGCATGTGTCCTATAAAGACTTTGGCTTTTATTTTGAGGGAGATGGGATTCTTAGTCATAGGAAGGATTTGAGCAGACACAACCTGCTTGTGTTTTAACACTATCACTCTGGTTTCTGTGGGGCTAAAACTCTGAAGGAAATAGGAGTAAAATAGGGGGACCACCAGGATACCACAACAATACTCAGGGAAGAGAGGATGGTGCACTGGGTCCAGGTGGTAGCGCTGAATGTGGTGCTTGGTACTGAGATTCTGGATCTATTTCAAAGGTAGGCAATGTATAACAAATTAGGATATTCCTTCCGTATACTGAATTGAACTCTGTCTCTTCTATTTCTCAACCACTATTTATTCTTCTCTTAACCATAATTTCCTTACTGACTAATCTGGCAATTGAAACAGATCCTTGCTGTACCCAGTACTGAACACAGTATCAGGTATGTAAAAAACATTTGATGGGAGCTTGTTGCATGAATTTTGCAATTATGAAAATTCACTTGAAGAATTAAAGTTCCCTCTATTCTGGAACAAAGTTCTACGACTCAGGTATTTTTCCCTTAAGGGTCAAACTATTCCCAAGGAATATGACAAAATTAACATTTTTATCTTACTTTGAGTGTACACAGCAGTTATGGGTAGTTCTTTATTATTTATAAGCTAGCAACCTAGAAATAAATGGACACTTATTTCAGAGAACTAATGAAATCCTACTTTGATTTGATACGTCTGAAATTAACTGCAGATGACATTAGTTAAGTGAGTATATTAACTCTTTTAAAATTAAAATGCTTAAGCATCTTATCTCTCGAAAGTCTCCATTATTTGACAAAGCCCTTTGTTCTAAAATTCTTTTCCATATTGGACTTGGGATACTTTAACATACCTTTTCTCCTCACTCTCAGTATGGAACTCCCTCTAAAGAATTTACAGAGTAATATCAAGCCAATCGCCAGAAAGCCAACTGTTAACAGACTAGAAAACTTGCCACGCTGACTTAAGGAATGGCCGAATTTGAAAGCACAGTAATGACCATGCCTATACTGCCTTTCTGTCTCTCGTTTCCTATAGTGCATCTTTTCACTCAGAGCAATTATTTGGACAATATCCCTATAGTCTCTCTTCCTCATCTTACAAGATCTACATCACCTCCTTTTTCATAACATGTCCATTCCAAGAAGGCAGAAGTGTCAGCAGACCCAGTCCATCAGTGGAATACAACTCTTATTTCCTTCATTAATGCTGCTCATGTACAAATGCATAATTACATAATGTTCTTGTCTTGAAAATGTATTTATTCATCTCAATTGTGATACTGGTCACTATAGCTTCTTTATTTCCTATAGCTTCTTTATTTCCTACAGCCTGTTCATTGCATGAGTTCTCATAAAGTACTTCTTGATATTGAAGGTATTATGAGAAGACCTAAGTTCAGATAAACAATCCCAAACTAGGTCTCCTGCTATGAGAAAAGGAGTCTCTGGAGAGAGAAATAAATTGCTTATCCTTATGAGGTGAATTAATTTGTCCAGAGTAATGTAAGCACATAAGAAGTAATTTACTAAATGGCAACTTGCACCCTAAAATAATTAACATCACATGAATGAATGATTTAATCTGAGTTTACTCATCACAGAATAAAAGACACTAATCCTCACAATCCACCTGATGTAGAAAGGTAAGGGGAGAATTAGATATAAATAGCCATCACTTCTGATCCCTAATCTTATGTTTTGTTAGCTGACCCTCACTGAGCTTAATAAAACAGCACATTTAAGATAATTTTTAATCCCAAATAACTTGGAACATTATTTATTACATCTGGTCCAAAATAAAGCCATTAAAAACAAAACTTCCTGCTTAACTGTGTATGGTTCTATCTGGCAATAATAGAAGGAAGTGGGAAAATTGTCTCCAATCTCTACATACTGATGATCGAAAAGAGACACTGTATGAAGTACAGGCAAGTGATTGAATAAACTAATGTATGAATAGGCAATAAGCTCTTTATCTCATAAAACTGTAGCTCTGTGTCAAAACATCTAATAACGTTCTTGAATCTGGGAAGCATCCAAGAATGTTTCTGAGGGAAAGACGTGGAGGGTTTAGGGGTAAAAATCTCTGCATAACTAAGGTGGAGGTGAAGGTGATCAGTTTGAGCAACGATCTGAAGAAAATAGTAGTGGGAAATGAACCTAAGGCTTTTGAACATCAGAATGATATGACTAAGGAATAGCCAAGACTTTAGGGAACTATATTATAAAAGAAAAGTAGAATTATAATAGCTGTGATTTTAATGAGTAATAATATACATAAGCAGTTCTTCAAGTTGCAAATCAATAATCTGTAGATAGAATTTAATAACCGATTAAAAGTTTTAAATTATTGTTATTCCAATTTAACCTATTTCCATGATATTTTGAATAATATAAAATTCCTTAAAAAATTCTTTAAAATCCAATTAAACAGTTACAACTTGTGAGGATTAGGTTTTTAGGCAACAAAAATAAACTGTATCAAACTTTTCCCAAAGACATGCCCAAGAAGCAGCTTATCATCACTGGTCTCTAGTTTAAAAATGTACTTTTTTCTTTAAAGTATTATAAATAAGTCCTCTTCACAGTAATGAGCACAAATAGACCATACTTATTCATAGATTATTCATTAATAATCAAGCCATGAATATTTATTGTTTATTCTGGGAATGCTGCCTGCCAGCCATAATGACTATCAATTCAGCAGTCAAGTCGTGGGGGCCAACAGCAATCAGGAGGCAAAACTCCAGCATCTCCCATCCGAGAAAGATTCTCTCCCGTTACTTAAACTTTTTCTTTTCTTACTGGGAACAGTGACTATGCTTAAAGGACTGCCATCAAAATTTATGGTTTTACTGGCTGAAAACTACAGTAAAATATGGAAAACTTAAATTAATGTATACCTTTGTGATTATTCAAACAGCGTCACAGCAACTACCATGGCTGAATTAAAAATGAAACAGAAATTGCTGATGAGAAAGTAGACTGGAGCTTTAATCTTGCAAAAGAAGATCTTTAGTCATTATGAGTCTAAAATTTAAAAAATAGCATTGCTAAGTTTTCTTCTCACAACTTATGTTTCTGCTCATGCATCAGAATGAGTTACATAAAGAGAGTTTTAAAAAATTGATTTAATATTACCTTTACATTTAACTCATTATATCATTATTAGAGACAACCTTTTGCCAAAGACGCTGGAGTTCAGCCATTCACTGCCAATGTTTCCTTTAACATTTAAAATACTGGAAAGGAAAGGTCTTTGTAATGTAAAGCAGTGCTTACTGACAACAATTGTTCTATCTGCTCTCAGGCTGTCTTGGATTATAATCCATAGTGTATGCTCTAAATACCCACAATGGTCATCATTAGCTTCAGTTTTAGCAGGGAGAAACACTTTCGAATAAAGTGTGTTTGGGTAAGGGGTAGTAGGAAGGGCTGAACTGTATTCCACTAGAAAGTTGTCAAATGTCCAGCAATTTTTAAAAATTCACCAAAATCACACTGCTGAAAGAAATGCCTTATTTTTCTACCATAGATATCCCCTCTTACGTAAATTTACACAATGAAAAAGAATTTGGTGTACACAGCATGCTATAAAATCTTTAGACTCTCTGACCCATAATACTGTAATGTTTTATTGAAGACCCCGTTCCCCTGGCTCTACTTCTGGCAGAAAAGACAGACAGTCACTGCATCAAGGTTTCAACATGTGCTAAAAAATATACCTGCTTGTGTATATTTTTTACTTTTCTGCATACACTATCAGTATTAGCATTTTGCACACATTTTTACTATTTCAAACATTATTATTTTATCCGAATCTAATAGTATTAAATATTTGTTTTCTTTTCTGGAACTGCATATTTATTTTTATAATGTAAGTAAAAGAGAAACAAAGCTCAATATATAAATTTCTAATTTATAAACCACTGTTCAAGAATGTGGCTACTAGGGATGTGCTGAAGTTCATTTTTAACTTCTAAAAACAGGACAGATTATTCATTAATCAAAAATAATAGGTAATTTTCCTAAAGTTTCTACTCTTTCATTATTTAACTTAATGAAATGATGGGGTTAGACTGTACCATACACTGAGAATAACTATCATCAAGGTTAAGAGAAAAACACCTGGTTGTATCGTAAGAAAAATGACTACAGCATTACTAAATGAACATGCACTGTGCAAGCTTTCGCATGTTTACCAGGTGACATTTACTAGTAAGGAAACTAAATGCTTAAATAGAAAGGAGCAGAAACACCTGGGCAGGTCTGCAAGTGTGGCCGCCTGTTTAGCATGCAATTGCATTTTCATCATAATTAGTTTAAATGTGCTTCTAAATTTGGGTGATGTATTGCACATGTAATTAAGATTTAATTAAAAATGTTCTATAATAAATTGTTTTCCATTTCTGACAAATCACATTAGAGAGGTAGATTTTGATTTGGAAATAGTTTTTTTAAATGTGTTAATCATCTGTGCTGGAAATATAAGAAAAAAAAGGAGCTCTCCTGAAAGTTACTTGGGATTTAAAAACTATGAAGTAAAGGGCATAGTTTCCCTTCATGTTACCATGGAGTTTAGCTAAAGAGGATGGTGAAACTCATTTGCTTTTATAAGCAGAAGCAGTCTGAACAGGGTGATGCACAAAATGTATTTCTTTTTTATTTCTGTAAAGTATATGGTATATCATTTCAAACTTTATTGTGGAAATTACTACATAATAAGTACAGCCTGCTGATGAAATATCCTCAGTGAGCTTGGCACTGACCTGCTAAATCCTGCCACAGAGATGAAGCCCCTATTGCCAGTCCAAGATAAATTAAGCCACTGGACAAGAGTGCATCGAGCCTGCAGAAACTCCAGAGAGGTGTCATTTAGCTTTGCCCAGTATGGCTGCAGATTGAGGTGGATGTACTGGAGAGGATCGTAGCAGTGCTGGTTCAGCAGTTTGCAAGTCTGTGCTAATCTGCACAGGTCTGGTAGTGTCAGATGATTCAGAATCAGTTGAATGAGCTACATAAAACAGAGACCAAAATGAACAAGACTGAAAAACAGAACAACAGTATCACATATTTTATAACACTATTTTCACATACTAAGAAATCAAAATTCAACCAAATTATCCAAAACAGAAGAAATCATACCTTCTTAAGACTCTATTACATTTCAAAATTGTTCAAAGTATACTCAGCTCAGGCTGTAATTTTTTACAGTGCAAAGATGTATTTTGCTAATCTGCTGAAAAATACAATTTTTCATAGATTCAGTATTTACTAAACATCTGCTACACATTAAACACTGGTGACGAAGAGAAAAGAGTTCCCGCTTTCAAAGTTTTCAGAGTCCAGTGGGGGCTGGTAAATACAGCGACATGTTTTAATAGCTTTGATAGAAGCACAGGCTGCCACTAGAGTCTAACACAAGACCTGGGCCTAACTGCAACGTGAAAGAGAACTTGTACCAGGAAGGCTCAGCTTTAAAGGGCAAGTGGCAAACTAGGTGAAAAGACAGACAGTTGGGTCACAGAGCAGCTGGGATTTATTCTGAAAGCGATGAGGAGTCCTTGAAGGGATTTAAACTGCAGAGTGACATGGTCAGATTTGTGTTTTAGAAAGATTATTGCAGGGGGTCCTGCTAGAGGCAGGGAGGCAGGAAGGGAAGGCAGCCAGGGGGCTGCTGCACAATTCCAGAAAAGAGAAAACAGGAGCAGGCTTCAGGCACCAGCACAGATGATGGAGGGGTGGACAGACACAGAAAAGGTATTAAAGAGGAGAAATAAAAAAGATTCTTACCTCTAATTAAAATAGTTTCCTTGAGCTAGCCCCCAATTTTTTTTTCTTAATGGTGAACAGTTGGGGGCTTCCAAACTAATATTCAAAGAACTAATGTTGAACCAAGTAACATAAAGGAAAAAAAAGATCAAATATTTGCTAAATGGTAAAAATCATTAATGACAGAGAAGGTTAAGGTTTTTTTATTTTATTTAATGCAGTGTATTTCTCTAGCTACTTTTTTGCAAATATGCCCTTTAACATAAATACCCTTCTTCAATTTATTTGGCTATGTAGGCCCCGTATTAACGTCAGGCTAGAATTTCACTGTTGTAGACCAAAATATTACAAAATAGTGACAACATGATATTTAAAATAAGTTTAAGAGTATATATAAAAAGTGAAGAGTGCTGACGAATTATTTATTGAGTATGGTAAGGCTTAGGGTGCTTTTGCTATTTATTTTTTAACACTTGAACTGGGCTTTTAAAAAATAGCATTAAGGTGTGTGTGTGTGTCTGGTGTATGTTAGTTATAAAAACAGGGAAATATAGGAAATTAAATTAATCTAAAATCTCATCATCCAGATAACATATAAACTGTTGACATATAAAATATTACACAAAACAACCAAAGAAAATTCAGATAAAACATTAGAAAACCCAAACATTAAGAAAGGCAGAAAATGAGAAGTTTCTAACAATCTCTCTCCCCATTGGTGAACACTGTTAATAGTGTTTGTGATCTCTTCCAGATAAATAGGTATGAAATTCTATTATTGGATTTGCACTAAAACAATGATACTATATATGCTGTTCTGCACATTGCTTTTCTCAATGACATATCCTGTAGATACTTCTACATCTGCACATAAAAATCCACCCCATTCCATTTTCTATATGTAACATACTAATTTAACTCATTGCTCATTGATGTACATCCTGTTTTTCCCCTATTGCAAATAATACTGCAATATCATTGTGTGTATGTATATATCTTGGCAAATTTTACAAATATACCTTAGGGTAAATTTCATGCATTTAAAAGTTTGATACAAACACAAAACTGTCCTTCAGAATGTTCGTATCAATTTACCACAGGTAGTGTATAAAAGGAACGATTCACATTTTCTAGACAGTGGTGGTATCAATACTTTAACTTTTGTCATAAAAGGGAAAAAAAGTATGGCACTGTTTTGGTTTTTTGTTTTTTTAATGTACAGGTTTCTTTTTTAGAAACACAAACATCTAACCCTTTGATAATGTTTCCTTCTTTCCTATTGGTCCATTTCTGGACTCTCTTCTGTTCCATTTATTCATTCATTATTTCTCCCATATCAATAGCTCTCTGGGTCAAATAAGTTTTGTTCTAAATTTTTTAAAGTTGGAATATATTGGATTGTTTGGTTGCAAAAGAGAATTTATCTTCATTGTTGACCCACAAATATCAGTACTATAGCTTCATAATATGCTTTATTATCTGGTGGGACTAGTGCCGCCCCCCCCCCAATCACTCTTCCAGCATTTTCCCGAGTATTTTCATGGTTTTTTAGGTGAACTTTTCAATTAAAAACAAATTTTTTTAAAGTCTGTATTTTAATTGGGATGTCATTGAATACACAGGTTACTTTACAGAAAATTGACACCTTTATTATGTCTTCCTACTCAAAAGCATGGGGGGGGCCCTAGAGTTCTTAAAGTCTGTTAACTTATTAACCTGCCAATTTACTTATTTTTCCTAATAGTGTTTGGTTTAGTCTCCTGAGTATTCTGATATATATTGTCTGCAAATGATGATGATTTTACAGCTTCCTTTCAAAAAATTATGAGTTTTATTTCTCATACCTTCTAGCACTGGGTAGTACTTTAAGAACAATAATAAGTAACACTGTTGTCTTGTTCCTGGATTTAATTTGAATATGACCACACATATGAGGCACATATGTAATCATAAACTTTTAGTAACTACATTTTTTTAAAGTTAATACTATAGTTAATATAGTACTGTGTACTTGAAAGTTGCTGAGAGTAGATCTTAAGCATTCTCACCATACACACACACACACACACACACGAGTTAAGATGCGAGGTGATGTAATTATATCAATCTTGATAGTCATTCCACAATGTGCGTGTGTGTATATATATATATATATATATATATTGAATCATCATGTACATTTTAAATATATACAATTATATCTGTCAATTATTCCTCAAAGAAGTTATAGAATAAAGTAAAAAAGAAACAGGTTATATTGATTTTAATATTTAATGAGCTATTAAAATTATTTCAACATGTAATCAATATAAAATTACTGAGATATTTTATTATTTTCTTATTAAGTCTTTAAAATCCTGCATGTATTTTGCCCTTTCAGTACATCTCAACTCAGACTAGCCACGTTTCAAGTGCTCAACTGTACATGTGGCTAGTGGCTACTATATTTGATAATGTATTTCTAGTGTTTGATTAATTTAAAATGGTGCTAGCTTTTGGTTAATAATATTTGGTAGTAGACAATTAGTAGATAGCTTAATAAGGTACATACTTTTTAAAATACACGGATAAAAATGTGGATATCTATCTAGCTGTCAGTTCTCAACCAATTTTGCACATCCACTGAGATGATATGATTGTCTGGACACTATGTGGTATACCTGAGCTAATACAAAATAATACTGAATATAAACTCTAATTGAAAAATAAAATTTTTTAAAATGTCAGGAGGATAAGTAATCTAGAGATAATTTAAAGTATATGGGAGGAAATGCTTAGGTTATATGCAAATATTAGGTTATATGCAAATACTATGCCATTTTATACAAGAGACTTGAGCATTTGAGGACTTTGGTGTAGAGGAGGTGGGTGGGCTAGGGGCTGGAACCAATCCCCAGAGGATACCGAGGGATGACAGTAGTCTAGTTTTCTTCTTATATGCCATAGTGTTAAATTGGCTTCAGTAAAAACATTGACAACTTTTCTTTTTCTTCATACCATAAAAAAGTTGAAATAGTATAGATTCATCTGTTTCTTAAGTGTTTGAAATAACCTATGAGCTACCTCAGCTCAGCAACAGTAGGACCTTAAACATTTGTAAAATGAATTAAAAGTTTGTTGTCTTAACTACAGTATTAAAAGTTATTTCAGGCCTGGCCAGGTGTGGCTCAGTGGCTGAGCATGGACCTAAGATCCAGGAGATCAAGGTTTGATTCCCGGTCAGGGCACATGCCCAGGTTGCGGGCTCGACCCCCAGTAGGGGGCATGCAGGAGGCAGCCGATCAATGATGACTCTCTCATCACTGATGTTTCTCTCTCTCTCTCTCTCTGAAATCAATAAAGATATATATTTTTTAAAAAAGTTATTTCAGTATAATTTTTAAGCAGTTAGAGAAAAGAGACATTAAAAGTTAAATATATCCCTGCATCAGAGGATAAATAATTTACTTTTTACAGTTGATTTGTAATTTAAATAACTCCCAGCAATTTCTGGCATTGTTCCAAACAAAAGTCGCCAATATGAAAAGATGTATACTATGTGAAAACACTCTGTGATAATTAATATTACATTTTAAGCAAATATCAGAAGAGAAAAAGAATAATGAAAAGTCACTGAGACCAGGACATTGACATGTGACATGTGAAAAAACACTTTTGGATTTTGATTAAATAAAAGATAACAGGTTCCAGGACTACAAGACAACATCCATTAATCATTACTCATCTAATATCTAGTGTCTGTCAAAATGTGCTTTTATGTTGGAGTATGCTAGCATAAAGTACCATCTGATACCACAGTGAATGTAGGGCATGATGTGTTGGGAAGGGCTCCCAAAACACAATTTATCTGCCCTCAAATCCACTCTACTCATAATACAATTATTTTCAACTATGAAAACACTGTATCACTTGACATATTTAAATGTGTTTTTCCCCTTGAACTAATTTGCATTACCTTTGAATAATTTGGGTTATTTTTTAAAAAAAGTTTCTCTTTTTAGTCACTGTGAGATCATTCGCCCTTTATGTGTGGTACTCTGCTTTCATTGTGGCTAATTCATGTCCTACAGGACTACTGATTCTATCTCCGGGTTTCTTCTACATGACTTTGTTGTATTGATTAAACCCCTTGCATGTTTTGGAAGCTTCCCTCTCTACTGGCTCCTTCCCTTCGGCAGATAAACTTGCTGAAATCTCTCCCAACCTGCATCACAAACAACCTGCTCTGCTGCATCTTCCACCACACCACTCACCCGTCCTTTCTCCCTTGAGAAGGTAAGTAAGAAGAGATATACCCATAACAATTACATACACTCCCTCATTTTGATATGCTCTTTCTGAGTGTGGCCCAAAGGGGAGGAGTATTAGTCGGGATGCCAGTATTATTCATTATTGGTGGACAGTCTTTACCCATGTTACAGCCCATAATTAGGGTATATTAACAGAATTTTTTTTTTCTGCTTATACTTACAGAGTAAGCACTTTATGTCTTTGCTTCTTCCCCCCTCTTTGATGCCTTAACGAAATATGGCAAGGCTTTCTCAGTCTCACCCTATGGCCATGGCTGCACTGAACTGATCATAGTAAAGGATTACCAAAGTCCCAAAGGCCTCTCAAAAACCAGTGGGCACTTGTGACTTACTCTCTGCAGCAATGTGGCTGACTACATCCTTTTGATGTTTTCTATACTTTAGCTTCCTATCACTTTGCTTTTAAGATATCTCCTATGGGTCCTAAGTGCCTTTTCTGACTTGTCTTCCTCTATGGGATTCTTAGATGTCAGTATTCCCAGAATTCTGTTCTTGGTCCTTTATTCACACTTCACAGAGTTTCATTGGTCAATTTCATCTACTATGGTGCCCCTTCCTTCTCTCGAGTAGACTCACTCAAATGTAAAATCAGACCTTTCTCCTGAGTTTCAAACTCAGAGAGCAACTGCCTACTGTCCCCAACCAGGCAAGTCTGCTTTGATGAATCACAGGCACCTCAAAGTCAGTATGTCCTTCCCACTTTCACCCACTGTTTTATGATTAATGGCATGTCCACCTACTAAGTCATTTCAACCAGAAACTTAAAGTCCCTCTGATGTTCTGTTTCATCTCCACATTCACTAGTTACCTTTGATTTCTACCTTCTGCATATCTGGAGTCCCTCTCCCACTCATATCCTTTCCAAAACTCCCAATACCCAGAGCTTCATCTTTCTTGCCCAAATAACTGCAGCAGTTTCCTAACTGGAGTCCCTGCCTCTCACCCTGATCTCCTTTTGGTCTGTTTTTCATTTACCAACAGAGTAATCTAAGACAGAAATCTTATTTTGTTATTCCCCCTTTTTAAATAAATAAAATAAGACCTTTAATGTTTCCTAATGACCTCAGAAAAGGTTCACAATCTTTGTTATACCATGACACATACAAAATACAAAGTTTACATGGTAACAAACACCTGGACAATTATTCTAATTTGTGGGCCAAAGCATGTGCAAAATGCCTACATATTACTTACAGATAATTCTTGGAATGTTAGCTATTATTCCACACTTTCTTTCCCACTGAAAAAAAAAGCCAATGAAGGCTACAAAAGAACACAAGAAAGTGAGTGTGAAATTATTACAGATATAATCTTGGATCAAATTTTTTTTATCAAAAGTGAATTATTTTTAAAGTCTAAAGTATATATGACTCCCCCAACTGATTTTGCTGTGTACTGGAGTAACACGGCACCCTAAGGACCACTGTCTGAAGGGATAAAATGTAAACCTCTTGGTAAAACCCACAGAGCCCTCCACGATACAGCAGAGTAGGCTGTGCAATGCCAAGGCTAGGATGTCCCAATCACTGTCTTCTATGTGAATGGTGTCCTGTGGAGTTTGGCAGGGAGGCAACCCTGAGCCTGTATCCAATTTCATCTCTTACAGCTTCTGCTATCAAATCCTGTTCCAGCCATCCTGAAATGCTAGAGTTCCCAAAAAGGTCACACAGTTTCACTTCTCACCTTTGTACATTCTCTCCCCTCTCTATGAACTTCCTCTCACTCATTAAAGTGCTGTGTGTCAAGTATTTTGTCAGGTCTGGATAAAACTCAATAAACTGTTTAAAATATATTTGCTAAATTTAAATTTCTATTTTGTAGTTTTAGGAAATGGGTAGGAATCAAAGAAGTGATTTAGTTTCCTCCAGATGGACTGCTCCCACTGCTGCTAGGACAGACCCTCCTGGGAGCCCTGGGGAACAAGGCTGTCCCTCTCCCACGCTCCTCTCCTTCCCCAACTCAGCTCTTCCTTCATCTTCCCTCCTCCTTCCCACTAAAGGCCAGAGGGTCTTGACCAATCTGTGACACTTCTTTTCCATAACACAAAACTTGACCTAGAAGGCCTGGGCTGAATCCTGGTCCCATGGCTTACTGACTGAATTATTTTGGAACCTTGAATTCATCTTTCTGTGGCAACTTTAGCTACTTCACAGGATGTACCATACCATTTTAACTATAAAATGTTGTACAGGCATTATAGTTACTGATAGGCATTCAAGAGGCTATCTTATTGTTCCATGCAAGTTAAGCTACTTGTGTTATTATAATGAAACCTGAAATACCCACCAATTTGGAAGGGAGATAGTCTGAATTGGTTAATTTTTTTTTTTAATTTTAAATATGTCTTTATTTATTTCAGAGAGAGGAAGGGAGAGGGGGAGAGAGAGATAGAAACATCAATGATGAGAGTCATTGATTGGCTGCCTCCTACATGCCCCCTATTGGGGATCTGAGCCCGCAACCTGGGCATGTGCCCTGACCAGGAATTGAACCTTGATTTCCTGGATCATAGGTCAATGCTCAACCGCTATGCCACTCCAGCTGGGCATGAATTGGTTAAAATTTGAGGTTATAAATTTTTCTTTAAAATTTTTGATTATACTATTTTTGACCAAACACAGCAGTTCTTAGCAGGGAACACAATTGCCAGGCCCTACTCCTACCCCCAGAGGGTGTGCTACTGGCATTTGATGCCTGGGAGCCAGGGATGCTAAATATGCTGCAGAAACGCCCTATAGAGACACACTGGAAACAAGACTTTAGGTAAAGGCACTCTATACCTGCCTAGGCCAAAAATTATAGCTAGTTGGAAGAATACAGAATTGGCATAGAAAAATAAATTACACTTGGACAAAAAGTGGACTATTAAAGAGAATAAGCATTCCTCTCTCAATCTTATTAATCTACTTACTTTTAAGAGCAAATCATCTTTAACTTAACTGGTATAAAGTTAAACACATATTGCCCATATTTATATTGTGTAATTATGAATTAAAGTGGAGTATGATTTATTATTGGTTTATGTATTTCAGTTATTATTAATTAGTGATATAACATATATTTAATAGCTTATCAAAAATTATTAAAGTCAATCCAAAGCCAAAGTGGTGAAATTACTCAATATAATTTTGTCCAGTTTTTCCAAAATCAAAATATACAAGACATCAGGTTATGTGCACCTTACCAAAGCTTCCATTTCTCTGATATCAACAAAATAAATATTAATACCTAAACTTTTAAAAATTAAAGTGTCATATCCAATAATGCTACTGAATATATTTGGCTTACCTCATAAGGTAGTTTGTCAAAATATCCATTATTTGGCCCTTCCCTGAGGGCAGTGCTGCTAAGCTTTTTGTTAAGATTGTCCATTCCACAACCATCCTGTTCTTCAGAGTCATCTTCTTCTAAATCGTTCATGTCAATAAGTGAAGTCTTGAGAGAAAGCACTGGCTTGTCCTTCATACCATGTAATACAACTGCATCTAATTCAGTGTAATAATCCAGAAGAGAACTATTTACTTCCAGCCGTATAAGATTTGTGGGAAAATTTATCTGCTTAATACAAGGTTTAAACTGGCGAGCCTGGGAAGCATTCACCTTCGTAGGTCTCTCTGACCAAAGAATCTCCCATCTGCTAAAGAAAGAAACTTCCCTATAATACGGTTTAGAATGAGATGTACTGTTACCTTAAGGTTATGGTCCCATGTCTAATACATTATAGTGTGAAGCAAAGGCATTAAATAAGAGAATCAAACACAAGTATTATTTCCAAGATATGAAAAAAATTTAAGAACTAAATGCCATAGACGTTATTACTTAAATATTTTTACTACTTAAATCACTTTTACAACTCCTCAGAAAGCCTTTTTTGGCAGATTTCATCTTAAAAACTGAAATAGAGTTATATGAAGAACAACAATCAGTTTTATAGAAAAAGAAAACCCAAAGTAAGACTAAAGCACACAGGATAAATAAAACTCTCCTGCGTGCCTGTCTTCAACCAGCTGTGAAAACTAAACTGACCACCTTGCCTCACAGAGGTCTCCTTTTCCAGCTTTTTCATTTCTGTTACTAATGTCATACCAAATCAAAACTTTCATTATCTTTGATTTTTTTATCCACTCATTATTTCTTCAAAATGTTCATGAAATTGTCTCTTATACATGCCCTTCTTCTAAATTTCCATTATTGCCATCTTTCAGTCATCCTGTGCCCTCAGTGCCTAGCAAGTATCTAACACATAGCGGGTAAGTAGCATTCTCTCCTATTCCTCCAAAATGAACTCTTCCTTTGCAGCCAGATTAATCATTACTGTCCAGAACATAAATTTATGTCTACCTTTGTGTCTTTACTCATGTTGTCGGTCCCCAATGAAATGCCCAACCTACAGATTATCCTGTCCTTCAAAGCAAAAACTCATATTCCATCTCTTCATATAAGTCTTCTTATAAAACCATTTTCCAAAATTACTTAAAGATTCCTCATAGCACAGCATCATTAAATATATTTTCATGTTAATCTCACATGTAACCATTTCTCCAGTATTGTTTCCTAACATATCAGAGAAAATAAGAAATATAGAACAAAATACTTCAATAAACACCTTTTCTCTATTTCTAATTTACTTTAGGTTGCAGAATTTTTTAACAAAGATTCTATGTCAAAGACTAAGAAAATTTTTAAGTCTCTCAATACATACAACAAACTGCTTTCAAAGCATATGCCAATAGTATATAAAAATGACCAATGAAACCATTATTTATTTTTAAAAATCATCTCTAATTTCATAGAGAGCCATATCTCTGTATGGCTTAATTTATAATTCACTGATTACTAATAACACTTAAAATGTTTTATACACTTATTAATCATATGAGGATTTCCCCCTCCAATATACTTAGCCAGTTCATATCCTTGGCCCAATGACCTATTGAGATCTAAGTAAAAAATGATTATGGCAAGGTGCTTAGGAAACTGAATTAGGCAAAAGAATGTGAAACTCAGGGGAGAAATCTGAGCCCAAACTATAGAAGTCATCAATATACAGGTATCCTGATAGTCTTTAGGCCAAGATGGGAGAGATAAGGGCATATAGCATCAATCTTGGGAAAATGAAGAAGGGAAATATGGTAATTTCTACCTTTAAGAATAAAAGTATAAGGCAGAAACTCAATGGGATTTTGAGTTTCAAAAATCTTTACATATCATTAATCATAACAGTAGGACTTTTGCAGTTTCTAGCACCTTTATAATCACCCCATATTTGCTAGTTTTGTTGATTCTCTACTGAAAATTAGGAATTAAACCCATCAAACATAAAGAGCCTGTTAATATTTGTATTTGGAGACAACATTAGAGTAGGAATAGAGATTGGTTCCACTCTGTAACCAATGCTGGGAAGCAGGGGAAGAATTCTAAGGAACAGAGCTGGTTGTGGCAGGTTTGAAGAGAAAAGGAAAGCAGGCTGGGCATCTTCTACTTCCTGTGACAAAGTAGAAAAGCGAACTTGGAATGCCAGCCTGGACCTAAGAAATGCGCCTAGAGCTTACCTGCAAAAAAATTTTTGGGTTCTTAACAATGGAACTGATTTGAACACTCTAATGTAAATCTATGCAGTTAAACAGAGCTAGCCATATAGGTACAAGGGAACAGAAGTATTAAACATTTAAAACCATGTTGGTGGGAAAATGCATTCCTAATTCTGGACAGTATATTTCCAAGAATCATGAAGTAAATGGTGGAATGCATGAGAAAATTCAAACTCTGGTTTTACTCATCTTTTTGTTGCTACTGCAAAATGATATCAAATGATGCTGGAGGAACAACTCATGTCCAAGAAATAAAGACCACTCAGTACTCTGTGAAATAACTGCCTGCACTGGTTTACAGTACATGTGGACTAAACCAGCCTAGTTTTTAGCTTCAATGAGTTTTTATGAGTCTTAACAGAAACACTGAAAATGTAATACAGAAATCACCTCTGCTAGGTCCTTTGCAATAAATAAATACACAAACATGTTCTTCAAGTATAGCTTGATTTGCAGTATAATGTAAATTACATTATAAAATCACAAATATAACCTTAAAGAAAAGCACTGATTAGAGCAGAAATATTCTATTTTAATAATGCATTAATCAAAATAGTCATGGGGATGTAAAGTACAGCATAGGGAATATAGTCAATAATATTGTAATAACTATGTATGGTGCTAGGCGGGTATTAGAAATATCGGGGGAACACTTTGTAAAGTATATGATTACCTAACCACTATGTTGTACACCTGAAACTAATACAAAATAATACTGAATGTAAACTATAATTGAAAAATACAATTTAAATTAAAAATTAATGTATTAGTCCTCTATCTACCTTGCAGAATAGACAAGGTGAAATGATGCTTTATTTTTTTTTTCTTTTAACATTTAAAAATAATTTTTAAAATTTTTACTTTTCAATTACAGTTTACTTTCATTATTATTTTGTATTAGTTTCAGGTGCACAGCAAAGCATTAGACAATCATATACTTTACACAGTGTTCTCCCTGGTATTTCCAGTACCCAACTGGCACCATACATAGTTATTACAATATTATTTTCTATTTTCCCTATACTGTATGGAAGATAGAGGTGAAGGGATTAAGCAGTACAAATTGGTAGTTACAAAATAGTCATGGGGATGTAAAGATGATGCTTTAAATTGACTTAACATTTCTAGTATGTCAGGGTTAATGCTATTTTAGCACCATTCTTACTTCTGACTTCTAGATCGCATGAACATTATATACAGATGGGCAAAAGTAGATTTACTGTTGTGAGTATGCAAAACACAGTTTATTACTGTATTATTATATATTAATTATTGGATTATTTCCCATACGAACTGTAGACCTACTTTTGCCCCACCCTATATTTCATTAGTATACATATAAAGTTATAAATATGATAGCATACTTAAAGTAGAACAATATAAATATCTTATTGGTTTTTAGAAATATTTAAAATTATAGCTAAACAAAAAACTTTACATTTTGATTTTTCTTGATAATCTACAAAGTAAAGAAAAATGATTAAAATATGGAAAAATTATTTCATAGGTTTGTGGCCATTTGAATTAAATTAACATTAACTATGAGACCAATATAAATTGATTTGGGGGTATCTGAATTAAAGTGAATTTTTGTTTAAAATTCACTGATAGAACTAGAATATATTATTTCAAAGTTAGAAAGAGAAAGGTATCTATTTTAGCAAACAAGAATATGACAGTAACTATTTATTCTGGAAAACACAAGCCAGGATCTTAAAGACTAGTTAGTGAGAACAAGCAAGCGTATGTAAACAAATGTGCATATGTGCACATGGATACACACATACACTTTGCTATGAGGAAGCACCGTCTTTAATCCTCTAGACTCAGGGCAGTGCTGATGTGATTAAACTGCTTTAAGTCATGGCCTTTGTAGTCTATACATTTACGTGTTCACTGTATGTGCTCACACTCTGTATTTATCTACTAGACAAACTGTCCAGACTCTAATGTTCTATTGTATTTTAAATTTATAGTATCATACATGCAAAATTCAGCTCGGAATCCCTTTCAGCCTCTGCTTCAGTCTACATTCGTAGCCCTTCTGGGATGGTCACCAACAGCACTCTCTTCACCAGCATACTTATGTCTCCTTCTGTGGATTGTGCTAAATGCCTACTATGTGTCCAGTGGTTGGAAACAAACCACTCTGTGCAGCTGCTGATCTGTTGTTACACCACCAAGAAAGTCTCTCTAGGGCTAAGGAAGCAGCAGGTAGGTAAGAGAGGGAGAGAGTTATTGATCAATAGAAACCCAAGAAAGCAAGTTTTCTAACATATTCAGGTTGGAAACTAGGCATATAAATGCAAAAAGGTTCCCGATAACCAAAACTTCTCCTGGTTAGTAAGTATATCTAGTAGCCAGCACAAAGAAAGTTCTCTTGCCAACACCTTTCTCTTTCACCAGGTGAAAGTGAAGGTATAGGACAGGAAAGTGACAAGAATAAAGGAAAAGTTTTCTGATGGTTGTGCCCCCTCACTCCCTGCCTCCCAGCCCATCTCTGATGGGAACTTACAAACTGGCATCTACTTTAAAAAGAATCAACCAGTAAAGGGTATGGTCAGTTCTGACTTAAATGGCAAAATCATGCTGTTGGCCCACAAAGTAAAGGAGATCAGACCATGACCAATTCGTGAAATCACTGCTTAATTAAGCAACTCCTTTTGCAGCGAATTCTCTCTACAACAGCCACTTTCTTTCTCCTTCCTTTCTTAGCTTCACTATTATATAGTTAAATGCTCTTAACATTCAATAAGTAAATAAATAATCCAGAAGAGATCCATACCACTAAATTTTATCCCCAAATAATTTTATTTCAGTCAGACTGTTTAATATGACCTCAATTAGTCATTTTCTTCCTCCTCTTCCAGTGTGTAACCGTGCTAACCTATTCCCTGTCTCTTACTGCAACACCTGTTAAGATCTTATCCTCAGGACCAGGACACTCGACACTACCTGTTTTTCTTTCCCCTTAATAGGGTGCTAGAAAAGAAATCAGAAGACTATGAGGTCTTATAGACTGCAACTTTCTTACTGTACTCTTTGAACAAAGAAATGAAACCAAACTAAATGGGGAAAAGTTATTTTTAAATTCTGAATGTTTGGGACTATAAGTCCATTTTCTGCAAATTCCCGAGCTACTTCAATACACACTCTCATTTGCTAACTCCTAAAGTGGGCATAAAACTGTGTGCTCAATTATTAATAAGCAGTATAGCCCAGTGGTTCCCAAACAATAGTGTGTGATGGAGGTTTCCATGGCTAAATGTAAAATATAAGAAATATATATATACATACATATATATATTTATATGCATGCACATATATACACATAAAATTGCCAACTGTTCTTTTTTTGAGATTCTGATTGTGCTCATTTCTCAGTATAAACTGAAGTTTTTAATATGATATGATAGTAATAATAAATGATGTTGGTATTTCATTTGTTTGCCTTTTTAATGTGTGTTTATTTACCAAAGTAAATAATTTGACTAAGTAAATAATCTGTATCAGTTCTCTAGTTTTTATCATCATTACTATTAAATTCACTAGTGTATCATAGCTGACTTTCCCTACCTGTGCTCTGCTTTGATCTACCACTCAGTTCTTTGGACGCATCCTTCAGATCTGCTTGCTTCACTAAGGGCTTTCACCTGTAGCCATCTTCAGAGAACTACCTGGGACAGCCTCTGCATCCAGAGTGTCGCATGAGCCTGAAAGATTTCCATTCCCATAGCCCATAGCGGAAGACAGACATCTGCAGGAGTGCAAGAGCCCATGTTTCCAGTAACTTTGCCTCCAGGCAGACTGGGACTGCATACAAGAAATTGCATCCTTGTCTGACTTCTTCCCTTCCCCAATGCACTTTCCCATACTGGTCTCTCCAGGAGCACTTTTATAACAAATCATTTGCATAGGAATAGTCTTCTCAAGGTCTGCTTCTGGGAACTGATCCAAGAGCTCTAGGAAATCCCAAAGTCTGGAAACCACTACTCTAGATCTTAAGAATGGCACTCCCATGCCTGTGGTCCTTCAACAGTTTTCTACACTCTTGGACTTTCATGTCTTCAAATACCAGGATCTTGGCCCATAATTTCACCTTTGAATGTGCTGTTCTCTCTCTACCTTTCCTAGCCAAACTAAAGCTTCCCTCAATCATCAGCTCTTAAAGTCACTGCCTCAGGGAAAACTCCGAGCTCCATAAATTAGGCTCTTCCCTCCACCAATTTACGTTCCCTCCAATCCCACAGTCTTCTTCCAGGCTAGCCTGTAAACTCAAAGAACACAGCCATGCTTGTTTGGCTCCCTTTTTCATTCCCAGTGTGAACTGGCAGATCAATCAATGTTTCTAACTGTCCAAAGAAATTCACCAAAATGTTAAGAGTTACTGAATCTGGGCAGAATAATTGTGAAGTTTTTCCCCTGTATATTTTCTTTTTTTGGTATTTCCTAACAAGCTTTTAAAAAAATGAAACATCTATTAATTTCATAATCAGTAAAATTAAAAAGGCCCTTTTTTATTCTGTAATAATAAATGTTGGTTAGATTCTTTCTCTCCTAAAATTTAATGGTATTTTCTGTAGAATAAAGCTAATAATCAGTTAAGCACATTAGAGATCACTGCAAATAAAGTTGTCACTTTAGTCACAATCACTCACTAGAGCTCTCAGCTAGGAACCAAGAGCATAATTTATACTCAAAATCAATTATGCAGACATTAAGTTTTAGATTAGAAGAAAGACATTACATGTTTCATAGATTTCATTCCCAAATTTGGTCAGCATTTTAAGAAAAAAAGTGGATAACTTTGTAGGAAAGAGCCAAAGAATGACAGAGTCCAATAAATCCATTCTCATATAAGAAAGCACCCTGCCCAAAGTACTTTTTTTTCCTCTCAGAAAAAAATAAATCTGTATATTAAAAGATGCTGGTTTTCTGTGAAGATAAATTAAAATAATAAATAAATAAATAAATAAATAAATAAATAAATAAATAAAATCATTTGATTCATTAATAATATCGTTCACAATGAATTATCACAGCTGTTCTGAAAAGAACAAAAAAGGATCATACCAGCAATCTCCAGCCTGAGTTGAGCTGTGCTCTGTGTATTTCCTGGTAGGCTGGGAGGTGCTCCTCAGAGTTGAGGGGACACAGACTTCAAAGAAGCAGTATGTCAGGTGGCAGCTGATCCCTGCCCCCACTACTCCTCCACTGGCAGCTGGGGTCCTACCGTTTAACAGATGCCAGCAAACTGCTCTGGGGCTAGAATAAACTCATAAGGGCAGGGATTTTTGTCTATTTTTTTTGTTCACTGTATCCCTAATACCTAGAATTATGCTTAGCACATGGTAGACACACAAATATTTAAAGAATAAATTAATAAAGTGATAGTGATAATATCAACCAGTAATAGAAAAATAGGCAAATAATATGATCAGATTGCTCAATGAAAAGGAAATATCAGTGGCTCTTAAACATGAAAAGATATTCAATTTCAGAGATAATAATTTTAACTTAAACTTAACATGAAGTGATATTTTTTACTTACCAAATTGACAAAAATATTAAAATGTATTAACACACTCAGTAGGTGGGGCTTTGGCAAAACTTGCGTGCACATGCATTGCTATTGGAAATATAAATAGGTAGAGCCTCTTTGGAGGGAGAGTTGACACTACATATTAAAATTACAAATACAGGGACCCTTGGCCCAGCAATCCTGAGAATTTATTGCATATGTGAAGTGACTCATGACAAGGCTATACACTGTTTTAATGTTTATAACAGCAGAAGTATGGAAACCACTGAGTGTTCATAACTAGGAGGGTGGTTAATAAGTGGGCACATATACACTGTGCTTTACTTGCAACTTAGAAAAGAATGAGTAAGCACTCTTTGCACTTATGAAAAGATCCAATATCTAACACTAAATGAAACAAATAGGGTACAAAACAATATGAATAGTGTGCTTAGTTTTGTGTATGAAGAAAATAAGAATATATTTCTATTTGCTTATATTTTATAAATAACGTGGAAAAATCCAAAGGAGTAGATAAGTGTTTTTTTTCAAGGAGGGAGGGGTGAGTCCTAGGCACATGCAGAACAGGGTACATACAAGACTGCACTATGCACTTTTTAGATTAGTGAAACACATGAATATACTAGTAAAATAATTATATTTTTAAAAATCAGCAGGCTAACTACAAAAACGAGAGGGGGGGCACTGCTATGTAAATTAAGGATGTAAATAAACAGGCTTTTAGGGAGAATGCATGAATTACTTAAAGCAACATTTATTTTTAAAGAAATATACTTGTTACAAGAGCATTCACCTAACATTAAAGCTAATCCCCTAAGGATCTCCTCAAAGTATTTAAAAGCAGTAACAGGATGCCTGTTTGAAAATATCTTAGAAGCCATATTTGCTCCTAACTTCTCAGATTTTTCCATGTCCCACTTAGTCCAAATCACACTTTTCATTTACAGTAAAGTCTGTGACACACAAATTTCACAGTCTATGAATATTACAGTGTGAGGTGTTATAGGTATGAAGAATGTATTAAATCTTCATAGTTGTGATCCTCCTTTTCCTATCAGAAAACTAAGGAAAAATTTTAAAATCAAATTTGTTTAAATTACATACGAGAATGCTTTCCAATAAAAAAAAAAAAAGAGCCCTGCCATATTAAAACAACCAAAACCTTTCAGCTATGTGACGTGGTCATTAACAAATGAGTCTTACCTTACTTCAGCTGGTGGACTTGGGGAATAGGGGTTTGCAGAGCAAGCTAGAATTCTAATGACTGCTCCAGGATGATAGGTTTCCAGAACATGAACAGCTGTAGGATACACCTGTTGTTCAAAAGTAAGTTCCACATAGTCTTGGCTCTGAAAATTAGGAGGCGTCCTCTTGAACGGCAAGGAAGCACTAGGACACTGATCCCACCATGTTCCATAAGTTCGAAACACAGCTGTCTGCGTGAAGTCACCAGAACTGGGGAATACATTTGGTACACCTGCCAAATTCCACATGGTGTAGGACATGCTATTCTCACTTCCATAATGGGAACTAAAATCCACCACTTCTTTGGCATACTGGACCACCTCTGCATTCAGAGGGGAAGTCCGGCTGTTTGATTCTATGGCTCTGTGGCTGTTCATCATTTCTCCTCTCGCAGCTGTTCTGGCTCGGCGCCGCAGGCATAGATAATAAAACATGGTCAGAACTGTTAACATGGGGAAGACCGGTGACATCTAGATGTGAATTATGAAGCTTCAAAAGGTCAGGTGTCCTGCGAAAGACGCATAAACTCTTTGAAGGATGTTCTAAAAAACTGAATGGCTTGATAAAGTAAAATAATTTAAATAAGCAGAAAAATGCATGAAAATGAGGTAATAAACAAGCTTTTTAACCAATGTAATTTCCCAGAATGAAACTGAAAAAATAAAATTCACTATCAATGTGAACCTCTGGTATAATCTTTCTAATGTATTTTTAAGAAATCTAAATCTTGAAATGTATACAATTTTATGCTATATGAGAAGCAAAACTAATATTATAAAGCAATGGAAGATGTATGACCCCAAAACCCCTATTTTTTACAAAATTATAACTATCCCTCAAGAAATACTAAGTCTTTAAACTCTTAAAATTAAAATTATTTAAAATATATGGTGAACCACTAAAATACTGTTGTAAATCCAAAAGAATCTTAGACATTTTATAATTTCACTTTTTAACAAATAATTCCCTATTGTTATTATTCTTGTACAAACATGCTAAGTACAGATTTCACATTATGGGAATATAGTTTTCTGGAGTTGACAGTTAATCCAGACCAACTAAATTAGCTGCCTTACACATCAAAGATCACTAGACAGTGTTTAATTTATAACTCTTAGCATTATTTGTTAGGGCAGTCCACGGCAGGCTGGCATCTGGTTTGTTGCCAGTCACTCTTAGAAACCACTCACCCCCAGACAGAAAGGTCACAGGATATGCAAGAGTTGGCACTCATCCATGTGGCCTGAAAATTTCATGTTGACTTCATGTACAAATGTTGATATGTGACATCCTTTTACCTGTAAGATAAGAATTTTAGAAAATATTTTAATTTCTAACTTAGGAAGTCAACTATCCCAAAAGATTTATCATAGATTAACAGCTACTTATTACACAGAACTTTCAAACTGAGTAGGTCACACTTTTCTGAATTTGTGGGCTATTATAAACAACTAATATATTTTGTTAATTTTATGAAAGAATGTATAAAAACATAATAATGAATCCTTTCTATACTGAGGTTGTAAATCCAGAGCTTATGCGTCAAACTATGCCAACAGACATTTTATTAGGAGCAAATAGTGTTTTTTAAAACTTGGATGAGTTTGCAACATTTAACCATCAAGAGGACCCCAGTTAGAAGAGGTCTGTGATCTTTGGGTGGCTGCCATTGTTCCTGGCCAGCTCTACCAGTTCACTACCCAGGCCTGACCCATCTACACCAAGTAGCTGACCTCTTGTCTACACAAACAAGAAATCAAGCATGCTTATTTTTGTATCTGTAAAGTTTTGAGCTTAACTTCACCTAAATCAAAGAAGGGGAATGTACCAACTTTTCTTTAGTAGAGCAATGTGCTAGCCTTTCTAAACTTTAGTACTAAGGTTATAAGACATTATAATTTATAAAACACATGAGTAGGCTTATTCTCTGGAATCTGCTGTACCACCTCTGTATCAGATATATACCCTACCTCCACAAGGGTCTACATAGAACTAAGTTTCTTGAAGGAGAGAACTAAGCCAAAGATCTTCATTTCTCAAAGTACTCAGCACAAAGTAAGCACACAATATCTGACATGTTGACAAAAAGGCAATAAGCAAACAAAACATTTACATAAGCTTAAAATAATTTAAAATGACCTAGCCGCATCCTCTGTCTCTCCATCCCAGCCAGACCCAAACAGTGAAACGCTTGACAAAATGTAACAAGTAAAATAAACAAACAGCTGAGCTTGAAACAAGTGAGGAAAATCCAGTTATGAGAAACAAAGAAAAAGTCAAAGAGCAGAGAGCAGGAGCTGAAGCGAATATGATTCCATGGAACCAGTTACAGGCCTTAAGGATTATAAGGAGACTTTCTAATACCCTTGCACAAATGCTATCTCAAGGCACAGGTCCCATTTGGAAGTACCTTCATAAAGCCAAAACTCAGAAAAGATCACCCTATCCATGAAGCCAGGAATATGAAAACTTAGTTCACTGGCCAGGAAGCCAAAGGAGGTTGTGACATCAACTTAGGCAATGGGGGCAAGTCACCAGAGTGAAATCAGAACCCTCTTAGGCATGTACCATGCACAGAGTGTGCACCTAAATTCATACTGCCTTCATGGTTTAGAATCCATACTCCATCCCCAAGTCAAAAAATACAAAAAGAAGTAGTCCTGAACCGGTAATACTTTAGGACCTGTTGGGGGCAGATGGGAAAACCTCTTTGCAGGGATGCTTCACAACACAGGAAAGAGATTAAACCCTTTCTAAAGATGCATCACAAAAAAACTTATAGACCACAAGAGAAAATAAACCACGATGAGGGACAGTCAGTAGGTAGACTCACTAAATGGAAGAACTTGTACTCCAAGAACAAGAAATAATAGAATAATCTGAACAAGACTTTTTCTGGAGTAGCAAAGCATTTATTAAAATAAATAAGGTGTTTCTACAGCACATGTTCCTAGTGCTGATGTATCATGAATCAACAAATCAGGTTCGACTCAGGACATATAACACCAAGTGCTGAAGTATATAGGTCATGTTATAAATGTGGGAAATAGTAATCATCTAGTATTTCACTTGTTTATGCAAACATCTCACCTACCACAAGTACAGATCTGTCAAGTAAAAAAGTTTTACAACTGCACAAATCTCAAATCTTTTACACCAAAAATTGAAATGATACAGGTCTTTCTTTCACCATATATATTTTATTTCAAAATAAGCCCCCAGGTAAATTAAGAGGGATGATTTTTCAAAGAAGCTACTTGGTTGCTCTCTCTTTTTAAAAGAATAAAAATAATGAAATAAATTTAAATTATAAAAATGAAATTTAGGAAATAAACAACGATGTGTAAGTATCCAACTCAACTGACTGATCAGCTAATTTGGATGTTTGGTTCCTGGAAACCTTCAGGAGAAGGGCAGAATACCATCTGCCACAGTGCCACGGTGGATGGATAAATCTGACTGTATAATCTTTGGACATTACTTGTCACTCCACAAGTCTATAAATTGTTTCAACCAACCTCCTTTCACTCTCTTTATAAAACTGCATTTATCAGAAAGCAAAAGTTTTATAAAACCAAAGAAACATCTGCAAAATAAGATATCATCATTCACGTGAATGTTCATATTCTTGGCAAAAAGATTGAGACAAATTGTGAAAGTCAAATTCTATTTGACATACAAACCACACAAAGTTTATAACCATTTCCCTGCTAGCTTTTGACACTGCAGATTATGGGATAACAGCAAAAGCAGCAAGAGTGTCATATGGGTAATATCATTTTTAGGTTGTTAAAGTTAAATAAACTTTTGCATTGAGACAACATATATAAAAGTGAGTTATAAACTGTAAATATACTAATTATATGTTCAAATATCTTCAGTGTGCAAGAGAAATGTAAATGGATACTTTATTTTTTCCAACGAGTAATAATCCTTAGAGTTAATTTTTTGTGAGATAGAATTAAAAATGACCAAAAAATTTTTTTGAAAAAGCAAATATATTTATTCTTTTAAAAGCAAAAGTATTCCCAAAAAATCTAAGAAAATTAAAAATCTATTTTTGTAAATAAACTAGGCATAGAAATAAAGAAAATGTTCAAACCTATTGTTATAAACATACTTCACTGATTCTAAACTCCTTTCTATCATCAAAGATGACACATAAAAGTGTTTTGGGGGTGGGGAAGAACATACGGAGGAGAAAGGATAGCTCATCCTACTTTTCCTTGGGAAGTGAAGCTGAAAAGGGGAATAGAGTCATAGCCTCAGGACTCATATGGACAGCGACGGCCAGTGCAGGATTCCAAACTGTCCACGTACTGTTTGGGCCTTTGCCAAGGCGTGAAGGGGATCTGTGATAACCACTGAATATCCGAGTGGGCAATAAACCAACGCACAAAATGCAATAACTCTATTTTGTGAGGAGAATGGGATTGAAAAACAAAATTATTTTTCCTACCTGGTGCAAATAAGTATTAGTCTGGTACACTAAATTTTTCCAAAAGGATGATTATAAAAATATACCTTTTGGGAGACATTTTCTTTTCCAGTTCATTCAAAATGCTTCTTTAAAGACTCTTGCAAAAATATCCTTTTCCATTTAACAAAAAGTCAGAATTAGAAATAGGGTGACCTTTGTTTTATTAGTTGTTTAATTCAATCACTTATCTGCTGAGATTATGAAGTAGGAAATTCTTGGAACACAATGAGCTTTGATACCAGTACAATCAAGGGATGCAAAGCAACAGCCACTTTAACTCGCATCACAAGGCCTTCATACTCCTTGGGAAACGACGTGCATTGTAGGACATGGTTTTATTATAATGCTTTATTTTCACTACGTCTTTCATATTATAAAATGCTTAACAAAGTTAAATAGTAAGATTACAGAGAAAGCAGTAACAGTGGAAAAGAGAAATTAAGAGGTACAGACAAGGGAGAACATATGTTTACTACTGAGACTTGAAGTGAGATGGGGAGTCGATGAGGCGGAGAGAAGCAGGATGGCAGGAGCTGCAGAGAAGACGGCTTGTGCTTCAGTAGAGGAAAAGGGAGGAAGGAAAGGACTTTTCATGAAATAAACAAAAGGAGGCAATGGGAATGAACTCGAGCGAGGGCCACGCAAAGGCTAGGTTCATAGTGTGATCAAGGAACCTGGAAAACAAGTTTAAAACTCAAGAGGATGCTCGCCTTAAAGTGAAAAGACAGAAAAATAAGGCCAGGCAATACGGCAGTGTCCTATAGTGAAGGCAGTCACAACACAATACTTACTTGCAAAATGTCCCGCAGAGACATGTCAATGAAGTGAGAGAAAAAGAGAGCATTTAGGCAGCTTCGCAGCACAGTACCAAAAGGTAAGAGTGCATAATGTGGTAATGTGCAAATGTCTCCCAAAAGGTATTAACTGCAGAAAAAGTGGACGAACTTTAAATGTTATTTCTGTATCCTGCTGAAACTGATCAAGAGACACTATTTTGAGGAAAGGACTTTTCTGGTTGAGTCTAGAAATCAAGACATGGGAAAATGGAAGAAATGATTAATCAAGAAGCGTGGAGTTATAGTTAAATTTGGTACAGAGCTGACACTCATCAACAGCCCTCTTTCCAGGCCTTCCCCAGGCACCATATGCTTATATCTCCTTCCATCTCTCAAATAACTGCTTCTCAGTTTCCTCTTGGGTCATCTTCTTCCTCTCTCAAGTGTACTGAGGTACCACTGAAGGAAGGCTGTCTTTCTGATACAGTGATATTCCAGAACATTCCACCTACCCTGCCACCAGTCTTCACCCACCACACTTGCTTTCTCCCACCAGATGCACCTGTGCTTGCCACCGAGGCCGGGTCCCCTGCAACGGCCTTGCTCTTCCTCAGCCTGCACCCTCATCCAGCCTTCAGTCAGGTCCAGACCTCATCCTTCTCTTTGCTCTCACACGCTGTGTATCATTTCCTGTATGCTGAGATCATTTTATACCCTAACAGACAATAAATTCCTCAAGTTCAGAGAATGTGTCTTAATTGCATCTGCAGCCTTAGGGCCTAGTACCTGACAGTATATGTTCGAAGAACACGTGTTCTGTTTTTTGAAGATTGGCAGAGTAGATAGCAGAAGATAATGAAAATAAACACAGAAATAAAAGCAGTGGATCTTCACGATGAGGCACATGTAGACCAAAACTGAAGCAAAAAGAGTTCCTTGATACAGAGAAAAAGGGAAAGATAGATAATAAAAAGCAAAGCACAAATAGGAAGCCATCCAATGAGAAATGACATACATATTAAAATTTTACTGCTCAA